CTTGGTCGCAGTGTGTCACTGCTTTCTCCCCTCTTGCTGCTGTTCCCTGATTACCTACCAGGCACAGAAAGTAGAACTTTGCCAGTTCTTGAGGTCCCTTCTGGTGTCACAGAGAAGTTTGGCAAATAGCAAAGAAGTGTGCATCACTTCCTTCAGAACAGGATAATTTCTCATTTTTATATCATTCTGTCTTTTAAATCCCTTTGCAGTCATGGTTATTATTTTGTTGGTCATTGACCAAATAAACAGTATTTCATTTCATGGTTATTAGGTCCCTGATTTATTACATTCCTAATTCACAGTTGTGCATACATCCATGATTGAGTGGCATCGTTTTTCACGTTGTTAAACCATAATGTCCTTACTTTGATTCTGGCATATTTTGCATTGTGAAGCAAACCACTGTGATGCTTTAAGACAGCATGTGGCATAAACTAAGCCAGTTGTGATTTATTCACTAAGTTATGGTTCAGAAAACAATGTTAGTGCATTTTCTGAATGCAGCCCATCAGAACTGTTCCTTTTTGAAAAGTTAGAAATTGCATGAGTTTAAATAGATTTGCTTTATTAAATGAAGAATATGCATAGGAATTTGGTTCTAGAGCAGGACTTTAAACACAAGTGCATTAAATTCCACTTGTATCTGTAGAATTAATTTTCAAATAGAAAGGATGATAAAACACCAAGCTTAGGATTTCCAGGCTAACAGTGAAACATAAACCTATTGAATAATGCTGGTTAACTGAACTTTCTATGTGACTGGATGGGTAACCTGTTTAAAAGGGGAAAACACCACTAACAGTGTATATTGCACCTGAATAAATCCCATTGAGTTCAGTGGAGCTTCCATCCCTGTAAGTCAGAATAAGATTCAGTGAGCCACCTAAATTTCTTTTTTCCTTTCTACTAGAATTTGACACTCAAAACACCCCAGAACAAGTAAAATCTTGTACAGAACATGATTAAACTAAGCAGAATATAATAAACTCTTTAAATGTGGAAGAGGAAAAGCTTGTGACAGTTAGTTACAGAACATAATGGTCCATGTTTAAGAATGGAACTTAGCTGGAAAAGAAGAATGGTTTAATTCTTTGTTTGATGCTAACACGTCTGATTCTAGGGCCCATCCACCAAATGTTAGACAGGGTAGAATAGCTGGCTCTTGGGGCCTTCCGGGGTGGGGGATGTTAACACCCTGCAGAAGCTTGTTTGAGTATCCCAAGACTGAGGCTTTAAGTATCAAAATATGAACTTTGAACAGAAGCATGGAAATGAACGGACCAGTAAAAAACATTGTCTCGAGAATGCACCACATTTGAGGGCATTTCAAGCTGTGGAGCTGCCCGGATATACCGCCTTCAGTGGTGTCTTTCTAGAAAGCATCTTTCCAATTTTTGTTTTTTATTTCACTTCTACATTTATTGTTTACATCTTCAGTAATAACTGTGGTATTGCAGATTACATATTTTGGTAGTTTTAAAAAATAACAACATGCATTTTCCTCCTTTTCTGTTCCCAAAGATAAAATCCCAGCTGGAAGAAAAAGAAAGCAGGAACTTCGACATCTGTGAAGCTGTTTCATATAGAACACAGGTGGTTGCCGGAACAAACTATTTCATCAAGGTAGCACATGTGACTCCTATAAGACCTGTAGTATAAATTTGCTCTTGCGTAGGACTACCTTATCTGGGCCGTAAAAATCCACTAGTACCTCTTTGCTACTCTCTAGCCACCATTCAGATTTTTACAGCCCAGATGTGTCCTGCTTTTGGGAGTAATAAACTACGTTCAGTTTATTTGCTGAAAATGAAGACACTGTAGATTTCCCCACAGTTGGCAATAGTTACTGTGCCTGCTGCCAACTGAAAGAAAATTGGGCTTTGTTCTAATATTTGCTGCTCAGTGCAATAGATGTAATAAAGTTTGCTCAGGTGATATATGCAGGGGCTGTACAACTGCAGATAGGTGCCCTGCACAAATAATGGTAGTGGTTCAGGGAGAAAAGGACCAATTCAGTTTTCTGAGTTGTATGAGTGCAATTCATTTACCAGGGTGATGAAATGGAGGCAGCCTGTCAAGGGCCAATAGCAGGTTTGATAGAGCCCTTTGCAACCATGGTGCATGGAGCTCCAAGGGACACTGGTGGAGGAGTCTGTTTTCAGGGTAGTAGAGACAGAGATGGCAAAACCCTTCCCGTGCCCTGAATGCAGAAGCAGAGCCCCTCTTCTTAGGGGAGGGAATGGATCAGCCCTTCTTCTGTCACCTGCTGGGAGGAGCCCTGTTTGTAGTTTCCCACTCCCAAGGCCCCTGGGATATTGTCTGGAATTAAAATGGGTGTAAGCAGTATTGCTTGTTAATTAGACCAGACTTTCTCTCTCTCTGTCTCTTTCTCTGTCTCTGTCATTGGCAGTGCTAATTTGACCCCACTTATTTTCTAGGTCCACGTGGGGAATGATGAGTACTTTCATGTACGAGTGTTCCAAAGGCTTCCACATGAAAACAAGCCGCTGGAGCTCACTAGTTACCAGAGCAAGAAAGCGAAGCATGATGATTTGACTTACTTCTAAAGAGTTATTTAGAAGTTTTTTCCCCCCATTACACTCCTGTGGGGTATATTTACAGATATCCACACATGTAATGCTTATTTTGCAAAAGTAAAAGAATCTCTTGTTTTTTACTGCAAATCAGCCCCTACGTAACTCTTAATACTATTAAAAACATATGATATGACATTTGTTTTGTGTGTATTTTTTGTTGGAGCCCTTCAGACATCTGAAGTATTTCATCCCAATTCTTCAGAAAAACAATTAGCTGGCTTAAAAAAAAAAACAAGCAAGCAGTTCCTGTTACTCAAGTTTGAAACCATTTATCCTTGTGTGTTAGCTTTGTGCCTTTTCCAGAAAAACAGCAACTGAAAAACCTAATATAACTAGCATGGAGATTTAATGCAGAGGGGATAGCCCCTTAGATAGCATATTGGGTAGAGAACATGGAGGTGCAGGGAGACAGTGACTGCTTGCTCTAAGTGGGGAGCTCAGAGTTGTATTCCTTGATGAAAATGTATTTCCCCAAGTTAACTGTTCTGCTGCACCTAAGTGGTGAGTGACAAACGATGACCTCCCATGATCCAGACAGAACACTGTCTTTAATGCAGCCTAAGATCGCACTGTTGCATCAGATAGTTTGATATGTCCGGCTGGTGGCACACTGACACTCCTCTGATTCTTCTCACACACATTGCTGCTAAGCCAAGTCTCTCTAATCCAGCACCTGTACATCTGATTTTGCTACCCACATGCAGAACTAAGTTTGTCACTGTTGAGCATCATCCATCTGACCTCTATAGTACTGGCCAAGCCTCTAGTTTAGTATGATTTGCAAACAGAACAAGCCTTCCCTTCCTCCCATCTTCTAAATCATTTAAAAAGATGTTGAATAACATCAGGCTGAGGACTGACTCCTGGGCATCCTGTTCTGTAATTCCAAGACAAAGTAGGTCTATTTAAGAAAAGCCTGTTCAGCTCTGCAAATACACCAGACTGCAGTATCGTGTGTTGTAGTCCATACTTATCCATCAAGTGTTTTGCTGAGATCAAACTCAAATCACTTTTGCCAGCTTCTTCAACATCCTGGGATATAATTTATCCAGCCCTGGGGACTTGAACTTGCTCAAGATACTTACTATATCTTTAGCAGTCCCTATCCCTTTCCACCTTCAAGTTAGGAAGAGCTCCCACTTCTGAGAGAAGATAGCATTTTTGGGGGTGGGGAATGGGCATCAGGAGGTATAGTGGAAGAGTTTAAGATGAATACCACATTTTGGCCCCCTGTGCTTAGCCCCAAGACCTGTTTTCTGGAACCCTGGTAGTTCTGGACTCTGGCTGTTGCGACTTAATGCCAGATTGGCATGCAATAAAATCTCCCTCATCCACAACTTGATGGTGGATGAGAGGTATGCCCTGGCTTGCATCACTGAAACCTGCTTTGTGTGAGGGTGTGTGTCCATCTCTGAAATGTGCCCTCCTGGGTTTCAGGTGTGGCACGAGGCACAGTTCTGGGGTGGGGGAGTGGCAGTGGTTATTCAGGATTCTTTGGTAGCTTTTAGGGGAGCTACCCCAGACACAGATGTGACACTCTCTTTGTGAGGTTGGATCAGTATGGATTGCTGCTTACCTCATTGCGGGAGGGGTGGTATGTCCCTTTCTTAAGAGGCCATCCAGACATTTGTCTGGTCTCCAGCCTCCCCTTTATAGGAGGATTGTTGAGTGAGTGGTGGGCACTCAGTTTCAGATGGGTTTGGAAGAAACAGATTTAGATAATCTGTTAGATAATCCCATGCTGGCTGGTGAATTCTGGGAGTTGAAGTCCACACATCTTGGAGTTGCTAAGGTTGAGAAACATTGACCCAGACCTTTTTCAGTCAGGATTCAGGCCTGGTTATAGTGCTGAGACAGCATTAGTCATGCTTGTGGATGAGCTGCAGAGGGCCTGGGATGGGGAGGTATATCCTGACCCCCCTGGATCTCTCAGTGGTGTTCAGTACCATTGATCTTGATAACTCTGGGTGTTGGGAATGGGGGGCACTGTTTTGCTGTGTTTCTCCCCTTCCTCTGTGGTAGGTTCCAGTTGGTGTTGGTGGGGAGCGAGAGGTTGAGACCTAGGCCTCTTCAGTTTGGGGTGCCTCGGGCCTTGGGTCTTTCACTCCTCCTCTTCAACATCTACTTGACACAGCTTGGGAGAGCTCATCTGATGGCATATGGTGTGTGTCAGCCCTCCAAGGTAGACCAAACTTGGAAACCAAAGACATGCAAATTAATACTTTTATTATAAAGTTATAGTAATAGAATTTTGCAAGTCTGAATGCGTTTCCCCCTCCCTCCCTTTATCTTCATGAGAACGAGGGAGGGTCATGCCTGAGACAGTTTCTCAAATTATATTTCTGCCCTGGACTCAGATTTCTTTTATCTGAATGTTGCCTTGATTACAGCTCTTCCTCCTGTTCCTCAAGATTATTCCTTCTGTCCATTACAGTGCAGTATCACCAGTGTGTTGATGATACCCAGCTACAAATCTCTACCCCTGGCCAACCAGGCAATGCTGGCCCAATGCCTGGATGCTGTAAGAGTTTGGATGGGGAGGAAGCAGCTTCAACTCAACCCTAGCAAAACAGAATGGCTTTGGGTCTTTCAACCCCCCGGTTCTGGTGAGTTATCATCTTTGACTCTTGCTGGTATCGCACCCCTGGACAGAGCTGGTGTGCAATTTGGGAGTCGTCCTAGACTTATGGCTCCTGCTGAAGGAGCAGATGGCAACCATGTCACAGATTAATCTTGGGCAACAATTGCACCCCTTGCTGGACCAGGAGGCCTTGCCCACAGTCACTCACACTCAGTTGGATTGCTGCAATGTGCTCTATATGGGGCTGCCCTTGAAAACCATCTGGAAATTACAACTGGTCCAGAATGAGATGGCAGGTGCAGTTTGGGCACTCTGTGGTTCACCCATGTTACACCGCTGCTATGTGAGGTGCACTGGCTTTCAGTTTCTTTCTGGATGCGATTCAAGGTGCTGGCTACCACCTTTAAAGCCCTGAATGGCACGGGGCCAGGTTATTTGCAGGACTGCATCTCCTTGAGGGTATCTGCCCATTCCACTAGGTCTGCTGAGTGGGCAGACTCCAGTCCCTCCCTTAAATGTTGCCATCTACTAGGACCTAGGCAACATGCCTTCTCCGTAGCGGCCGCTGCCCTTTAGAGCACTGAGATCTGGCAGGCCCCTAACCCTCCCAGCCTTCCAAAAAGCCTTGGCTTTTCCCACAAGTGCTAGGGTAGGGGGAGGCTGGAGCCAAGTAGAGTTTGTTGTGGGTGCATTGGGATGTGTTGCGATTGGGGGCATCAGGAGTTTAGTGTTGGTTTTTATGTTTTCTTACTGTTTCTATTGTCTCCCCTGTTGTTTATGAGCTGCCCAAGGTGATGCTGCATAAGATGAGCGGCTATATAAATCAAATAAGCAAGCAAGCAATTTCAACTTCTCCATTTTTCCCATTATTACTTCCTCAAAGGCTCCCAGATGCCTGTCCTCTTTCTAAAAAAAATATGACTAAGAGGGAGCGGTTACTGAAAGAGTGTATCTCCACTCATCTGCTGATCATCTGATCCATGAGTCAGCTGCAGCTGCAAGACCCTCCCCTTGGGCCATGGGCTCAGACGGCGTGCTGAGCCAACACATGCTCAGAAAACCAGACACAACCAGCTCAATGCCTCTTTCCAAAACTGATAGCAATTTGCTGGTTCTACCTTTGTAACTTGCACCTGATCTGTCCAGGGACAAAGTAAAGGACAGCTTAGAACCTGATTAGCAGTACAGTGCTTCAGTGAATCCCATCCTGATTCCTGGGCTGATAATTGCTCAGGGAGAGTCCCTGGGAAAAAGGGATTAGAGTATTCATATTGTCTCGTATTGAAAAAGGAACAAGTTGCATATTCTGGAAATGTTCCATATTTTATTTATTGTAATTTAAATGTTTTAAGGACAGACTGGCAAAAGTAGTGTGCCTGAAGAGAAGAACAATCAATTGCATCGAACCCCACAGAGTATATCGCTGGAATACTTGCTTAGACTTTTTCCCCCCTGGAATGGTCTCACCCAGCTGATGGGGAGAAATCAAGCAGTACTGACCTGTTGAAAGTCTGGGAGGGGCTCCCAGACTTGCTTTCCAAATAGGCTTTTTAACATGTCTGATCAAGTGGTGTCTAAAGTTTATTTGTAATAGGGCAATAAAGCTGCTGTGTCGCTTAGATTGGTGTTTCTCAACCTTGCTGACTTCAAGATGGGTGGAGTTCCAGAATTCCCCAGCCGCACATCTTAGTCACCAAGGTTGAGAAACACTGGCTTAGATCACCTGTCTTAGTAACAACCTTAGTAACAATAGAGGCACATTTTTATCTGGAAAGGGGGGGATCAATGGAATAGCTTTGGTACAGCTATTAATTTTTATTGAAGACAGTTGCCAGGAGTCCAGTCTTCCACCTAACTGGTTAACAGGTGTGGATCTGTGTATTTAGGTGACTACAGGAACTAGTTTACCTGCTTTCCTGCCTGGCTCATGGGAGCAGAACAAGCTACACAATAGAGATGGCGTGTGCAGCACGGCGCCACTGCCTCTTTTAATGCATCAACCCACTTTATCTAATTGATGGCAACTCACCAATTATAGTATTGAAGTCATGCTTTTTAAGCTATAGTTACAAGCATTTATTACCGTAAGTGCTGGGCTCCACAGAGTGGAGTGCATTGCATACAGATCAGAGACTGTCTTCTCACATAGCACCTGAAAGGATCCTAAGGGCTGAGTATGATTTGAAATATTTAATTTTGTGTTGTTATGGAATGAGTTACTGGCCAGATAATGAGGGGATAATAAGTTGCCCTGGAGACCGGGACTGCATGACCAAGGCTGTCAATCAGGTTCTTTTGGTATGTATGGCCTACGTGATCCAGGGAGTGAATGGGAGATGCTTATAGTGCTAAAATGAAGCTTTTAAAATCTACTGGTATTGCTGGGTAGCATTCACTGACTTTGCTCTGGTGCAACATAAGAGATTCTCAGTTCTTTAGCAGAGGGCCAGCCTCTTGTAACCATATCCAAGACTCAGGATAGACTTACACTTCATATTAAGCCCAAATCTGGTTAGTTTGGTTTTGGCTTAGCGTGTTGAGAATGAGTCAGAGT